AGACAGGTTTTTTATAGAAATGGATCAAAAAGAGAGAGAATCTTTTTTCCTGAAACTTAGAGTCTCTTGCCACAGAGGGGACACATGTTGATGTAGAAGAGACATGAAGAGAGAGGGGACACATGTTGATGTAGAAGAGACATGAAGAAGAGGGGACACATGTTGATGAAGAAGAGACATGAAGAAGAGGGGACACATGTTGATGTAGAAGAGACATGAAGAAGAGGGGACACATGTTGATGAAGAAGAGACATGAAGAAGATGGGACACATGTTGATGTAGAAGAGACATGAAGAAGAGGGGACACATGTTGATGTAGAAGAGACATGAAGAAGAGGGGACACATGTTGTGAAGAAGAGACATGAAGAAGAGGGGACAACATGTTGATGTAGAAGAGACATGAAGAAGAGGGGACACATGTTGATGTAGAAGAGACATGAAGAAGAGGGGACACATGTTGATGTAGAAGAGACATGAAGAAGAGGGGACACATGTTGATGGTAGAAGAGACATGAAGAAGAGGGGGACACATGTTGATGTAGAAGAGACATGAAGAAGAGGGGACACATGTTGATGTAGAAGAGACATGAAGAAGAGGGGACACATGTTGATGTAGAAGAAACATGGAGAAGAGGGGACACATGTTGATGTAGAAGAGACATGAAGAAGAGGGGACACATGTGATGAGAAGAGACATGAAGAGAGGGGGACAACATGTTGATGTAGAAGAGACATGAAGAAGAGGGGACACATGTTGATGTAGAAGAGACATGAAGAAAGAGGGGACACATGTTGATGTAGAAGAGAGACCGTGAAGAAGAGGGGACACATGTTGATGATAGAAGAGACATGAAGAAGAGGGGAGACATGTTGATGTAGAAGAGACGTGAGAAGAGGGGACAAATGTTGATGTAGAAGAGACATGAAGAAGAGGGGACAAATGTTGATGTAGAAGAGACATGAAGAAGAGGGGACACATGTTGATGTAGAGAGACATGAAGAAGAGGGGACACATGTTGATGTAGAAGAGACATGAAGAAGAGGGGACACATGTTGATGTAGAAGAGACATGAAGAAGAGGGGACACATGTTTGATGTAGAAGAGACATGGAGAAGAGGGGACACATGTTGATGTAGGAGAGACGTGAAGAAGAGGGGACACATGTTGATGTAGAAGAGGCGTGAAGAAGAGGGGACACATGTTGATGTAGAAGAGACATGAAGAAGAGGGGACACATGTTGATGTAGAAAGAGACGTGAAGAAGAGGGGACACTGTTGATGTAGAAGAGACGTGAAGAAGAGGGGACACATGTTGATGTAGGAGAGACATGAAGAGAGGGGACACATGTTGATGTAGAAGAGACATGAAGAAGAGGGGACACATGTTGATGTAGAAGAGACGTGAAGAAGAGGGGACACATGTTGATGTAGAAAGAACGTGAAGAAGAGGGGACACATGTTTGATGTAGAAGAGACGTGAAGAAGAGGGGACACATGTTGATGTAGAAGAAACATGAAGAAGAGGGGACACATGTTGATGTAGAAGAGACATGAAGAAGAGGGGACACATGTTGATGTAGAAGAGCGTGAAGAAGAGGGGACACACTGTTGATGTAGAAGAGACGTGAAGAAGAGGGGACACATGTTGATGTAGAAGAGACATGAAGAAGAGGGGACACATGTTGATGTAGAAGAGACATGAAGAAGAGGGGACACATGTGATGTAGAAGAGACATGAAGAAGAGGGGACACATGTTGATGTAGAAGAGACATGGAGAAGAGGGGACACATGTTGATCTAGGAGAGACATGAAGAAGAGGGGACACATGTTGATGTAGAAGAGACGTGAAGAAGAGGGGACACATGTTTGATGGTAGAAGAGACATGAAGAAGAGGGAGAGGGGACACATGTTAGATGTAGAAGAGACTGAAGAAGAGGGGACACTTGTTGATGTAGAAGAGACGTGAAGAAGAGGGGACACAATGTTGATGTAGAAGAGACATGAAGGAAGAGGGGACACATGTTGATGTAGAAGAGACATGAAGAAGAGGGGACACATGTTGATGTAGAAGAGACGTGAAGAAGAGGGGACACATGTTGATGTAGAAGAGACGTGAAGAAGAGGGGACCACATTTGTGATGTAGAAGAGACGTGAAGAAGAGGGGACACATGTTGATGTAGAAAGAGACGTGAAGAAGAGGGGACACATGTTGATGTAGAAGAGACGTGAAGAAAGAGGGGACAACATGTTGATGTAGAAGAGACGTGAAGAAGAGGGGGACACATGTTGATGTAGAAGAGACGTGAAGAAAAGGGGACACTGTTGATGTAGAAGAGACTGAAGAAGAGGGGACACATGTTGATGTAGAAGAGACATGAAGAAGAGGGACACATGTTGATGTGAAGAAGAGGGGACACATGTTGATGTAGAAGAGACATGAAGAAGAGGGGACACATGTTGATGTAGAAGAGACATGAAGAGAGGGACACATGTTGATGTAGAAGAGACATGGAGAAGAGGGGACACATGTTGATGTAGAAGAGACATGAAGAAGAGGGGACACATGTTGATGTAGAAGAGACATGAAGAAGAGGGGACACATGTTGATGTAGAAGAGACATGAAGAAGAGGGGACACATGTTGATGTAGAAGAGACATGAAGAAGAGGGGACACCATGTTGATGTAGAAGAGACGTGAAGAAGAGGGGACACATGTTGATGTAGAAGAGACGTGAAGAAGAGGGGACACATGGTTGATGTAGAAGAGACATGAAGAAGAGGGACACATGTTGATGTAGAAGAGACGTGAAGAAGAGCGGACACATGTTGATGTAGAAGAGACGAGAAGAAGAGGGGACACATGTTGATGTAGAAGAGACATGAAGAAGAGGGGACAAATGTTGATGTAGAAGAGACATGAAGAAGAGGGGACACATGTTGATGTAGAAGAGACATGAAGAAGAGGGGACACATGTTGATGTAGAAGAGACATGAAGAAGAGGGGACACATGTTGATGTAGAAGAGACATGAAGAAGAGGGGACACATGTGATGTAGAAGAGACATGGAGAAGAGGGGACACATGTTGATGTAGGAGAGACATGAAGAAGAGGGGACACATGTTGATGTAGAAGAGACGTGAAGAAGAGGGGACACATGTTGATGTAGAAGAGACGTGAAGAAGAGGGGACACATGTTGATGTAGAAGAGACGTGAAGAAGAGGGGACACTTGTTGATGTAGAAGAGACGTGAAGAAGAGGGGACACATGTTGATGTAGGAGAGACATGAAGAAGAGGGGACACATGTTGATGTAGAAGAGACATGAAGAAGAGGGGACACATGTTGATGTAGAAGAGACAGGAAGAGGGGACACATGTTGATGTAGAAGAGACGTGAGAAAGAGGGACACATGTTGATGTAGAAGAGACGTGAAGAAGAGGGGACCATGTTGATGTAGAAGAGACGTGAAGAAGAGGGGACCATGTTGATGTAGAAGAGACATGAAGAAGAGGGGACACATGTGTGATGTAGAAGAGAACGTGAAGAAGAGGGGACACATGTTGATGTAGAAGAGACATGAAGAAGGGGACACATGTTGATGTAGAAGAGACGTGAAGAAGAGGGACACATGTTGATGTAGAAGAGACATGAAGAAGAGGGGACACATGTTGATGTAGAAGAGACGTGAAGAAGAGGGGACACATGTTGATGTGAAGAGGACATGAAGAAGAGGGGACACATGTTGATGTATAAAGAGACCGTGAAGAAGAGGGGACAACATGTTGATGTAGAAGAGAACGTGAAGAAGAGGGGACACATGTGGAATGTAGAAAGAGACGTGAAAAAGAAGAGGGGACAACATGTTTGATGTTAGAAAGAGACGTGAAGAAGAGTGGGACAATGTTTGATGTAGAAGAGACATGAAGAAGAGGGGACACATGTTGATGTAGAAGAGACATGAAGAAGAGGGGACACATGTTGATGTAGAAGAGACATGAAGAAGAGGGGACACATGTGGATGTAGAAGAGACAGGAAGAAGAGGGGACACATGTTGATGTAGAAGAGACATGAAGAAGAGGGGACACATGTTGATGTAGAAGAGACATGAAGAAGAGGGGACACATGTTGATGTAGAAGAGACATGGAAGAAGGAGGGACACATGTTGATGTAGGAGAGACATGAAGAAGAGGGGACACATGTTGATGTAGAAGGAGACGTGAGAAAGGGGACACATGTTGATGTAGAAGAGCATAGAAGAGGGACACATGTTGATGTAGAAGAGACACTGAAGAAGAGGGGACACTTGTTGATGTAGAAGAGACGTGAAGAAGAGGGGACACATGTGATGTAGAAGAGACATGAAGAAGAGGGGACACATGTTGTATGTAGAAGAGACATGAAGAAGAGGGGACACATGTTGATGTAGAAGAGACGTGAAGAAGAGGGGACACATGTTGATGTAGAAGAGACGTGAAGAAGAGGGTACCATGTTGATGTAGAAGAGACATGAAGAAGAAGGGGACACATGTTGATGTAGAAGAGACGTGAAGAAGAGGGGACACATGTTTGATGTAGAAGAGACGTAGAAGAGGGGGACACATGTTGATGTAGAAGAGACGTGAAGAAGAGGGGACACATGTTGATGTAGAAGAGACGTGAAGAAGAGGGGACACATGTTGATGTAGAAGAGACATGAAGAAGAGGGGACACATGTTGATGTAGAAGAGACATGAAGAAGAGGGGACACATGTTGATGTAGAAGAGACATGAAGAAGAGGGGACACATGTTGATGTAGAAGAGACATGAAGAAGAGGATTTTGCATAACAGGTGACCTTTAAGGTATTACATGTATGTTACTTTAGAGCTTAATTTCTACCCTTTGTCAGCATGTCACTTGCAGGTGGTTCCTTCACACATTTGTTGACCTCTTTGTAGTGTTTGTGTAAGTGAGCAACACTCCCTATGATTACATTAATAAAACTCTCCTGGAAAAGAGTGTGTTGTATTTGAAAGGCAGTAGAAAGGGAAACACACACAAGAGGAACAGGGTCTGAACTAATAATAATTATGAATTATTATTGCATTATTGTAATCCAGACCTTCTAGGTTCCAGTGTCACCACATAATGAATGTACTCCATTTCCCAGTATTCTCTTCATGCTTTGAAGCTACAGTGAGAGAAACATCATTTTGGGGAGAAGTAAAAGTGTCTCCAGACGAAGTACACTAAGTTTACGTCACTAATCAACTTTTATTTAAGTTAAATGTTTATCTATCACCTGCTAAAATTAAGTATGCAAAAATGCCAATTTCGTTCAATTTGCCTTACTGAACGAAAGAAATGTCCTTCAGTAAGGCAAATTGACTATCTCGGATACAAGCCCTGCTAAAGCTTTCGATCATTAGTTACCATAAGCAACTGGTCATACCAGACCACAACAATAAGTCATATTCACATCAATTCACAGGACGAACCCATCTCTGCCTGCTGCAGGAACTCGTCCCAGTCTGGCGCGGAAACTGGTAGCTCTGTCTGGAAGTGGTTCCAGAACCTAGAGACCGACAGGACACATTAAAAATATTTACAATAGAGTGCTGCAGCGATGACGTATTTTTGGAGGCCGACCCGGAAGTAAGCTGCGCATGGGTTCCCTCGACAAAAAAGCAATTTCTCCATAGGATTTTGGAATATTGTAAAAAATAAGATCTGTGGAAAACGAACCTGTTTGATAAATGCACGTTTTGTTCAGCTGGATAATCTCCACATGTTGACCCTACTTTTATCATTTTCTAATCATAGACCTAATGGCCAGAAGCAAAATGCTAACGTTATGCTATAAAGGAACTAGCCGAGTACAGCTGGGTCGCACGACTTCAACGTCACGCCAACTTAAGATCCATATTCAAAAATACAGATTCTAAATTGTACAAGTTGAAGTGTTGTTTGAACAGCTTGCAGCAGGCAGGGACTTGCTTTAAAGCAGAACAGGGCAAACTAACTTAGAGGAGTGTTTACGTGTTCGGCGTAATGACGTACAACGGCCTCGACAACTTCTGTAGTCCTATTCAGCCACTCGTTAACAACCTTCATTTTTCAGACACGTCAACTCTTCAAGAATCACCAGTGGGGTCACTGCTGATGTATTTAATGTCGTAGAACAAAACGTGATCTGTCTCTTACATTTGTGTCAACCACAGAGCTTAAAAACCCATTGACTCTGAGACGAGGGAACAGGAAGTGGTGAAATGCTGACTCACTTCCGGGTTTTAGGACTCGTTCCTGCACCTATAAGTTGGCATGTGTAACTTACTATCTCAGACCTGTGTCTTGTTATGAAAACTTGCGTCATAAGTAGAACAGAAGTGCTCAGAAGTGCAGAAGTAATCGAAAGACTGCTGGGATCTTTCTGGTGTTTTCTGTTTACTTCTGAAATACAATTCAAATGAGACAAAGTGTGTTTACTTGTGATGGTAGATATCCGGGTCTCGGCTTATGTGGTTCTGGAAGCCGATGTACAGATCATCCCATAGACGGCCGTGCAGCACTGCAGATCTCATCACGCTGATCCGGTTTTTGATCTTTAGGGATGAAACCAAGAAAACATTGAAGCTGCATGAACGAAACAGGAACTCTGATGAGTAAAATAATGCGCCTCACAAGAGTCTACGACAGACCGTTCATGGGTTGCAGAGGTGGGACGTATCGAAGTACATTCACTCAAGTACTATTTTGTCATACTTGTACTTTACTTGAGTATTTCCACTTAATGCTACTTTATACTTTTACTCCCCTTACATTTTGGAACATCAAGTGTCCTTTTTACTCCACTACATTTACTAACAACAATAGTTCCCAGCTTTACATATAAAACACATGACGTTTTTAAATGATATCCTGCAGTACCTTATTACATATTTATTACAAAACAAACTTAAACTGTCTTAATAATGTCCTACATGTATTTGTAAGCAATACAAATAACGAATCACTTAAAGGTGGGGTAGCTAATTCACTTCAGAAACACTTTGTTATATTCCATGGAATGCTCTTAACATCCCGACAGCAATGAATATCTTAAATGATTTGACAATAAATACATAAACAAAATGTCATCAGTTGAAGCCGTGGCGCTGTAAAAAGCACGACCAATCATCTGAGCCGGCCCGGCTAAAGTAACTGGATGGCCTACCTGCCTGTCAGCCTTTCATCTGTGCACAAACTTATCTCGTGCCCTCATTGGTCATGTGCGCGTTCGTGTGTGTTGGAGGAGGGGCTCTGTAAGGAAGTCTGAAGGAAGGGGCAGATTTTTTTCGGCTGCGTAGTTTCAAATTCTAGCGCACTCGAGCTGGTTTCTCCATTCTTACCTACCCTACCTTTAATATTCCATACAAATATAATACTTTCAAAACGACCATGGTGTATGTGTACTTTGGATACTTTAAGTACATTTAGCTGGCTATATTTCTACTTAAGTAGCATTTTGAATATCGGACTTTCAGTTGTCATTAAGTATTTTCAGACCAAAGTATTTATACTTTTACTTAAGTAAAGGATCTAAGTGCTTCTTCCACCTCTGCTGGGTTGATGAGCATTGAGCTGGATTTCTTTGTAAATGACTTAAGATGATTTTTTGTGTATTAGAGTATTTCCTATGTCTATGTTTTATTATCTTTTCTTTTTAATAACTGATTTTAAATGCCATTTTCTTTCGTTTTTTGTAAAGCACTTTGAATTGCCTTGTGTTGAAAGGTGCTATATAAATAAACTTGCCTTGCCTATGTCTCACCTCAATGTAGAAGTGCTCTCTGCCAGGCCTGGCGGTGGGAAAGGACAGATCCAAAAAGTCCACCAAGTAGTCGTAGCCACCAGCATGGGGTTCAAAGTTGTCCTTTGTCTCGATCACCTTATATATTTGTGTGAAAAAATGTGCTCCGGATCAAAAACGCATCAACAAGCAACAGCAAGAAAGGACAAGAGGGCTAGCTAGTTTCTGTTGAGCTGGTTATTAGCCATGCTAGCGGCATCTCGATAAAATATAATATAATAAATGATCTCAGGCATTATTTAAGATTGCCAGCAAATCATTAACCCACATTTCAACACGAATTTCCAAATATGCTGCACATTTAAATGTAATTTTGTTTATTGGTAATAAGCAAATGTTAGCATGCTCAAAATGCTAAGCTAAGATGATGAACATGATTACTTTACAACGCTCAGGAAGGTTTTGCAAAAGTATCTGCGATTCTACAAAAGAACAGAAAGAGGGTCTTCTATGTCAAGTTTATATTTACCCGCATGACAAGGTTGTAGTTTTTAAAGCCTGCCCAGGAGTAATAGAATTGGATCCAGCTTTTATGTTTGAATATCTCAGAGCCGATGGCGCCGTTTAGTTCATTCAAGTACAAGTCGAAATCCCATTTGTCCTTGTAGATTTGTGCATTAGCCGGGGGATCAGTGATGGCCGCTCTGTGTTTGGTTGTGTAATGAAAGAAATAAACACATACAAAGAAGGTGAACTTATGATGGGTCTCCATGTGTGTAGTTTAAATTATCATATTAATCTTAAACCTATTTTGTAATCTGGGCACGATTCCTATTCTCTTTTCTCAAAAGTACTTTTTCTAAATAATGCTTTGAGTTCAGACAGGGGTAGACAAAAGCGTTTTTAACAGTGACTGACAAATGTACGTTTTTGTGAGTTAGAAGAAACAACTGTGACTGGCAAATGTTCTAAACCACAGTTAGCTAGCTTTTAATGCTAACTGCTAATGTCAAGTCTAAAAAATGTACCAAGAAAAGGACAGCCGTAGCTAGCTAGCTTATTAATGCTAACTCTGTAAGATTGTTTGAAAGTGCCGTCAGAGAATCGTTTAAAATCAAGAACCATGTAAATAGGTTTTGCTTGTAGAATAATGTGTTGTCACACACACACACACACACACACACACACACACACACACACACACACACACACACACACACACACACACCACACACACACACATTCACACATCACTTCAGGGGACATTACATTGACTTACATGCATTTCCTGGAGACTTATCCTAACCTTAACCATAACCAACACATGCCTAACCCTAACCCTAAACCTAACCAAGTCTTCACCCTAAAATTAATGATTCCCCTCATGGGGACCTCCAATTTGTCCCCATAAGGGAAGCCAGTCCCCCACACGCGACTATGTAAACAGATTTAGGTCCCCACAAGTATAGTAATGCTAGACCACACACACACACCACACACACACACACACACACACACACACACACACACACACACACACACACACACACACACACACACACCACACACACACCACACACACACACACACACACACACACACACACACACACTAACACACACACTAAAGCATTGTCAACCTGTTAGTGGGGTCTCTCAGAGCGAGGCCGAGGTCCAGCACACTGCCTGGTTTGGGCGTCCATGTTTTGATGTCTGGTGCAACTTTATTGATCAGCGCGTTGAGGTTCTCTGCACTGTTCTTGATGTTTGTTTCCCTAATGGTTCTGTATGCACAGAACACAGTAGAGACTTATGAAGACGGATGAACAATGGAGATATCTAAAAGTATTTCTTAGTGTCTCCTATCATTTGAATTTAAGAGCGCACCCGTGGCAAAACGCCCTTAAAATATGACTGTGACTTAAATTAAATCATTATCCGGTAAATTGATCGTCTGACTTTTTAGGATTAAATCACATAAAACAAAAAAACACACTTATTTAATAATACACACTTTCCTTTGACGTTCTACTGGATTATATCATTTCCTGCACACCCTACCAGCTAATCCATTCTCTTTCCTGTTGTTGTGAAAGAAGGCCTTTCTAAATAATAAAAAATGAGCATTTACAACTGCAAACAGATTTAATTACAATACAGTTTTAAAATATATATTATTCTGAAATAGGCCACCTCAGACATCATGTGGTGCAATGTCAAAAGGACCGCTCTTCTTTAGGTAAATTATTCACAGATATGATTTGGTATACTACATATGATATACTCGCAAATCATTCTTATTGGGACTTGGCTTGGGAACCAAAGGGTCGCCTGTTTAATTCTCCGGACAGACCAAAGTGTGGGCTGTTACTTGGAGAGAAAATTATCATTCACGTTTATTTCATTTGCTTCTTTCCATCTTATCCAGATATAAATGATTAACTTCCTGAATTTGTAATCACATGATGGCCAACGTTTCTGGAAACAGGGTCTGGGTCAACTTATCATCGTCTCTCCTACTTTTGATTCACATAGATCTCTCCAAGCTAAACTCCACATAACTAAGTCTGATTAGAGCTAAACATATCATCTTCATTTTTCAAACCAATGAAAAATAATGAGCTTTAAAACCCATGTCTTATTTATCATCCACTAGTATTCCTCTAAGAAATCTGAGCAAGTTCTACCTGTCTGATGGATGAGCTTCCACGAAATAGCCAGCGAACGGGCAGTAGATCTTGGGCTCCAGGGACTTCACCAGCGCAGATTTGTAATTCAGCAGCTTCACCCTTTCGTTTTTGATAAAAGTTTCCTTCCAGGAATCTGGTGACAAACATGAGGGCATCACGGTTATTTTCTGCATTGCGGGGCTAACTAAACATAATGTCGCCATGGGTGAACACTAACAGCACTCATTTTGGGGAGGATTTGAACACATTTTTCTTACCCCTGTTCCCAACTTATGGGAGGCTGCCTGCCTTCTTGTAAACTACGCTGCAGCTTCAAATACGATGCAAATATAAACACACAAATGCACAAAAAACACAAGCAAATGAAAAAACATAACCACCAACTTGACAACACATGCGCTTTCTGAATGCTGCTGTGCATGTGTTGTCCAGTTAGTGAATATATTTCTTGTGTTTTGCCACATTTGTGTTTTTAAATTTGCAGCGTTTTTGAAACTGAAGCGTGTTTCTGCTCATGGAAATGTTTGGGCCGTAGTTGATAAGTGGTTGAAAGACAAAAGGCTCTCTTTTCCCCGTGCTTTTCCCCGTTTAGTTCCGTTAGTGCCCGGAATTTTGCGTTCACACCAAAAAGAGAACTTAGTTCCGAGAACTTTTACCCCCATTTTTAGCGCCTGCTAGAGAGGTGGGACTTTTATGGGAGAAAAAAGAACCAATTTTGATTGGCTGGGCGGATTGCAAACCACGCCCCGTAAAACTCTGAAAAGGTTTGTGAAGCCGCCATTGTATTTGCTGGCATTATCATTATTAGCATTAGCATTAGCCCCGTGCACCAACGCAGAGAGACTAACTTATGGCAACACGAAAAAAAACATGGGAGCGGTGGAGATGAGGAGGTGTCGGCGTTCTGGCGATTTACTCAGAAGGCTTCAGTAGAAGCTGCTGGGAGTCCCAGCAGCTTCTACTGAAGCCAGTCCCCAACTCCGGGGACTTCCGGCCGGGGACTTCGGGTGGCAGTATACGCCGTGAAGTGGTTTGCGGCCTGCCAGTAAACCCAAAGCAGAAGAAGTGACGTCAGCGGCTTCATTTGCGTAATCTTCCCTCAGGGAACTTATTCCGGTGTGAACGCGATCTGTATTTAGTTCCATGGGGGTACTAAGTGCTGGGAACTAAGTACGGCAAAGTACTTGGTGTGAAAGCGGCTAAGGACAGGATACCTATATCATATTTCTGTCATGGTTTTAGATTTGTGTTGGCATTGTCCACCTTTTTATTTTGAAAGGTTTTTGCTCCGTGTGTCTTGTCTGGTCCTACTTCCTGTGTTTGCCTTCCTGACTTTAGTTTCCCTCCTGTGTGATTGTGTTCACCTGCCCCCCCCCCCCTGTGTTTCACCTCCCCTCTCCAGTTGTGTCTTGTCTTGAGATTACCCTTCTATGTATTTAGTCTTGCTTTCCCTTGTGTTCCTTGTCCGATCGTCGTCAATGTAATCTGCATGTTCCTGACCGTGAGTTTGTTCTTGTTCCTTGTGCCTTGACCTTGTTTCACTCGGTTAGTTTTTCTTTGTTTTTGTTTCAGTTTTTGAATAAAGCTTGCTTATTGTTACAACCTGGACCCCTGTCTGTGTTATTTTACCCAAACCTGAAAATATCGCACGGAGACAGACAAAGAAAGAAACAGACAGATCCTACAGGGCTTTAGGTTTTAATAACAGGGCATCCCCCTGTCTTGTGTCTTTGTTGGAGATCTACCTTATCATGTTTCTCTACTTATTCGGAGCATAATAGTTGCCTATTGAAGATTCAAGTAGTTATAGAAATGTAACATGTAATGAGTCTCACCTGTGTATTTCCCCCCAAAGAAGGTCATGGGGAATCCAGATGCTCCTCCAGCAAAGTCACTCATCATTAAGTCCACATTGTTGGGTAACTTGCCTTTATTTGGCCTGGTGCAGTCCACAGTGTTCAGGATCATGTGACCTAAAACAGAAACACAATTATTTGATTGCTTTTGATACATAACACTGTTATTACACCCATAGTATATCCATGTTACACTGTTAGACCTATATTACACCCATGTAACACCGTTCTTACACTGGTATAACACCCACTTTACACATGGACACAGCCTGTCAAATGTCACAGGATAGTGGATACAGACACCATTTAAGGGTTATCTTATGGAAGTCATGCATCTCTTGTAAAAACATTACAAATTGAAAACAAAAATGCACCTTTATATTCAACAATGAGGCAGGTGTCAAGTTCGGGGTGCACACCGTCCATCAGGATCATGAATCTTAGGTGTTCGTTCACCTGAAGCAGACCAAGGGACAGTGTAGTGAACAATTAGCGGAGTCTATTCATTATTATTCCATTATAACAGCCTATATTCACACATATTTTATAAAAGTATTTGTCATTACATTTTGCCAGACTCCAAAAGGAACAACATTGATGTTGGTCAGTGGGACTTGGCTTTGCTCCAAATACCTGTTGTATCAAAGAACAAAAGGAGCATTAAAACGCATTTAAAGAAAAGTATTATTTTAAGTAACAGATGTAATGAATTAAAGGTGGAGTAGGTAATTTTGGAGAAACCAGCTCGAGTGCGCTATAATTTGAAAATACACAGCCGGAAAAAATCTGCCATTTCCACTTCCTCCTCCAACACACACGAACGCGCACATGACCAATGAGGGCACGAGATACGTTTGTGCACAGATGGAAGGCTGACAGGCAGGTAGGCCATCCAGTTAATTTAGCTACTTAAGATATTCATTGCTATCGGGACGTTAAGAGCATTCCATGGAATATATCAAAAAGTGTATCTCGAGCCGGTTTCTCAAACTTACCTACCCCACCTTTAAAGCGAGCTCAAAGACTGTACTAACCAGAAGACAGGTCTCGACGTGTCCCCAACATAAATGGGTACATCTGGCCTCCTCTTTGCCAAGTCTTTCAATGTTGGGTAACTACAAAAGAAAGGACAGTTCAAATCACAGATATACATAGAGCTCGGGAAAAATGACCACTGCAAAATCTATTGAAAGAATACAGAGTTATTGGCAAAGTCCTAATCACAATTTATACAAAATTGCTAGTAAAACCTCCTCTCTGAATAGTCTTTTGGTAACTAGAAAAGACAGGACAGGTCAGTGACAGAAAAAGAAGACTATTTCGCACCATGTTTCTGTTAGTAAAAAACAATAATAATTGAATGACGTTATGATAACCAGCTATTAATGCTTATTTTTATCTATTTATCTAAACCCCTTTTGCGGGTTATAAAACTGAAAATTAATGAAATGTATCATATCAACACATTTCACATAACTGTATTAGGTTAGTTGAAAGCAATAATATTAAGATGAAACAAATATGTTTTTATTTAAACGTAATATTATTGCTTTCAACTAACCTAATACAGTTATGTGAAATCTGTTGACGTAATACATTTAATTAAAGTCAACGGTTCAGTTTTTTCAGTGCAGGTACCTTTACCCGGTGCTCTATATATATCTATACTTCAACATTTCACTACTTATCAATCATTTATTTACTAAGTCTCTATAATTGGCTGCACATTGAGAATCTAAAACTAAAATGTTTTTACAAGTGATAAGAACAGGATAATATTCAGCCCCCTTTAGGTCCTGGGGGCATGTATATAGTAAACTATGCTTATATGTCCCCCCTCCTAGTGGGCCTGCGAACATTATGATTTGTGTGGAAACATTTCATTATTAAGATTTTTTTTTTATTTGAACCTCTTTTCCTTTCTCTTTCTTGATCCTCCTTACCAACGGTCATTACAGTCCTTGACGGCGGTCTGTTCTACTGGATTAACAACGTGTCACATGTTCTGAGTTGACCAATCAGAACTTTATTTAGCCTCCGTATTGTTTATGGTTGAATGTGGGCCGCGAAAAAAGAATAGATTCTTAAGTGGGCCCTGAGTTGAAAAAGGTTGGGAACCGCTGATATACGGTATAAGTTCAACTTAAAGGTCGCCTATTATGCAAAATCCCACTTCTTCATGTCTCTTCTACATCAACATGTGTCCCCTCTTCTTCATGTCTCTTCTACATCAACATGTGTCCCCTCTTCTTCATGTCTCTTCTACATCAACATGTGTCCCCTCTTCTTCATGTCTCTTCTACATCAACATGTGTCCCCTCTTCTTCATGTCTCTTCTACATCAACATGTGTCCCCTCTTCTTCATGTCTCTCCTACATCAACATGTGTCCCCTCTTCTTCATGTCTCTTCTACATCAACATGTGTCCCCTCTTCTTCATGTCTCTTCTACATCAACATGTGTCCCCTCTTCTTCATGTCTCTTCTACATCAACATGTGTCCCCTCTTCTTCATGTCTCTTCTACATCAACATGTGTCCCCTCTTCTTCATGTCTCTTCTACATCAACATGTGTCCCCTCTTCTTCATGTCTCTTCTACATCAACATGTGTCCCCTCTTCTTCATGTCTCTTCTACATCAACATGTGTCCCCTCTTCTTCATGTCTCTTCTACATCAACATGTGTCCCCTCTTCTTCATGTCTCTTCTACATCAACATGTGTCCCCTCTTCTTCATGTCTCTTCTACATCAACATGTGTCCCCTCTTCTTCATGTCTCTTCTACATCAACATGTGTCCCCTCTTCTTCATGTCTCTTCTACATCAACATGTGTCCCCTCTTCTTCATGTCTCTTCTACATCAACATGTGTCCCCTCTTCTTCATAGTGTCCCCTCTTCTCATGTCTCTTCTACATCAACATGTGTCCCCTCTTCTTCATGTCTCTTCCTACATCAACATGTGTCCCCTCTTCTTCATGTCTCTTCTACATCAACATGTGTCCCCTCTTCTTCATGTCTCTTCTACATCAACATGTGTCCCCTCTTCTTCATGTCTCTTCTACATCAACATGTGTCCCCTCTTCTTCATGTCTCTTCTACATCAACATGTGTCCCCTCTTCTTCATGTCTCTTCTACATCAACATGTGTCCCCTCTTCTTCATGTCTCTTTACATCAACATGTGTCCCCTCTTCTTCATGTCTCTCCTACATCAACATGGGTCCCCTCGTCTTCATGTCTCTTCTACATCAACATGTGTCCCCTCTTCTTCATGTCTCTTCTTCATCAACATGTGTCCCCTCTTCTTCATGTCTCTTCTACATCAACATGTGTCCCCTCTTCTTCATGTCTCTTCTACATCAACATGTGTCCCCTCTTCTTCATGGTCTCTTCTACATTAACATTTGTCCCCTCTTCTTCATGTCTCTTCTACATCAACATGTGTCCCCTCTTCTTCATGTCTCTTCTACATCAACATGTGTCCCCTCTTCTTCATGTCTCTTCTACATCAGCATGTGTCCCCTCTTCTTCATGTCTCTTCTACATCAGCATGTGTCCCCTCTTCTTCATATCTCTTCTACATCAACATGTGTCCCCTCTTCTTCATGTCTCTTCTACATCAACATGTGTCCCCTCTTCTTCATGTCTCTTCTACATCAACATGTGTCCCCTCTTCTTCATGTCTCTTTTACATCAACATGTGTCCCCTCTTCTTCATGTCTCTCCTACATCAACATGTGTCCCCTCTTCTTCATGTCTCTTCTACATCAACATGTGTCCCCTCTTCTTCATGTCTCTTTTACATCAACATGTGTCCCCTCTTCTTCATGTCTCTCCTACATCAACATGTGTCCCCTCTTCTTCATGTCTCTTCTACATCAACATGTGTCCCCTCTTCTCCATGTCTCCTCTACATCAACATGTGTCCCCTCTTCTTCATGTCTCTTCTACATCAACATGTGTCCCCTCTTCTTCATGTCTCTTCTACATCAACATGTGTCCCCCTCTTCTCCATGTCTCTTCTACATCAACATGTGTCCCCTCTTCTTCATGTCTCTTCTACATCAACATGTGTCCCCTCTTCTTCATGTCTCTTCTACATCAACATGTGTCCCCCCTTCTTCATGTCTCTTCTACATCAACATGTGTCCCCTCTTCTTCATGTCTCTTCTACATCAACATGTGTCCCCTCTTCTTCATGTCTCTTCTACATCAACATGTGTCCCCTCTTCTTCATGTCTCTTCTACATCAACATGTGTCCCCTCTGTGGAAAGAGACTCTGAAAGTTTCAGGAACAAAGATTCTCTCTCTTTTTGATCAATTTCTATAAAAACCTGTCTGAAAATGAGCTGATCAGATTTTGGACACTTGATGATGTCATAACGATGTGTTGTCTTGGTAACCATTAGCCAATCAGCAACCAAGGTAACCCCCCCCCCCCCCCCCCCTTATCACCTGAATCTCCTCTAGAGCACCATTGAGTTCTTTGTAACCAAATGTCTCTCAGAGGGGCGTGGGGAGGGGCTCCTTATTTTCATCTAAAGTAACAGACAGAGAATCAGCACTTTGGAAACAGGGCTGAAACAGAGGGGATTATGGGTAATGCTGCAATGATCTGTTTGGTGTTTCAGCCAATCAGAGACATGGTCTGTATATATCTGAGACCTGTAATATATTGATGAAAAAGAGTATAATAGTATAATAGTACAATAGGGGACCTTTAACTCCTTTTTAAGGAGTTATTATAAAAGGTGACGACAGTGGAAGAGTTTACCTGAGGTGGTCGGAGTGCATGTGGCTGATGTAGATGAGATCTGCAGAGCACAGTCTGTCCATGGCGTCTGCTGGAGGCTCGTGGAGGAGCCACCATCCTCGGGCAAAAGCAGGACCCTTTAACCACGGATCGAACATGAAGCGAGTCTCCCCAAACTGCAGCTCCATGCAGGCGTGGGTGATGTACGTCACCTGTGGGGTGTTTAAAACATGCTTTATATAGGGGTAGGGTAAGGGTTTTTAAGACAAGATAGAAGGGAACAGACATTTAGCAAAAACATCACTGAAGAGAAAAACATGCTCAAGACTCTCTAAGGTACATGTTATCTAGGACTTAAAGGTGGGGTAGGTACTTTTGGAGAACCAGCTGGAGTGCGCTAGAATTTGAAAATACACAGCCGGAAAAAATCTGCCACTTCCTTACAGAGCCCCTCCTCCAACACACACGAACGCGCACATTACCAATGAGGGCACGAGATAAGTTTGTGCACAAACAGTGGCGGAGCTGGGGGGTGGCCGTGGTCACCCTCACCACGGGGGCCCAAACAATTTTAGAACATAAAGAAAAAACAATTTTAAGTAACCTTTCACCTTTCATCAACAATTAATTTAATAATAACATTAATAGGACGTTATATTGATAATGTACTCACTAAACTTACAATTCATTTAACTTATTTTCTTCCAAAAGTTAATTATCCTAAGCCTCTAGTTTGTACACCCCCTTCTATTTACATGTAATGGTTTGATCCTGCCTCCAAACGCGGTGCAGCATCGCCGGCACTTTCTAGCAGAGAGTGAGAGCATGTGAGGAGCAGGGATGCTAGTACTTACGTGTGTAGTTGTATACCATGTCTCAACGACTAACAAAGTCAGGCTTTCCAAAGAGAAAAGAAAGGAGAGAAAGACAATAGAGGGCGACAGTATGTCACCCAGTTTTTCAAAGAAAAGGTAGGTGTGGTCCATGAGTGGTGGAAATGTGCTAAGCGTAGTCCATTGTAAATAATAATTATGTTTTTATTTTACTAAGCTGATATTAAGTACTGTTAATATCTATACAGGTTTTTAATTGCACTGCTCTTTTAGCTGACATTTAATAAATGCAGGTACATGTTTAGCAGCTATCCATACTAAATCAGTTGTCCCTCCCCCTGGTGCCAGGACCAACGGATCCATCTCTAGGCTCAGCAGCCCTGTCCCCCCATGGGGCTGAACCTGAACCAGCTTTTCTCCCAACTGAAGGAGGTGAGCAGCATTGTGTTGAATGCCACTTAACTTATCTGAAGGGAGACTGGAATACAAAATATATACATATATCAAAACAAAAAGCTAACATCTAGTTTCAATTACACATTTCAAACAACATTTTCCCACATATTTAAGTTATATTTATTTGAATTTATGCATTCATGTTGAGAATGTTCCATTCAAAAATGTTATTTAAAATGCATTTAAACCATAAAAGATGACTAGTGAGATCTAATGGCTAGGACGCACTGTTTACCCAGCTGGTCTGGCCCGGTCCCCCCTATTTCATAAATGAGGGCCTATAGGCCCCTTGTCATGTCTACCGATATCTGGTTTTCTTATGTCTGTTTGTTTTTATCTGTGTCTATGTTGTTGTTAGTGATGTATTGTCTTAACTTTTTAAATGCCTCTGTGATGTGCTGCAACCCATTTTCCCCTCGGGGACTATAAACGAATACTACTATACTACTATTGTCAGGAATGTTAGTCTTATATCAAATAGTGAATTCTACTGCAGCAGAATGTTGTACGTCTGCACAGTGTTATATTTTCACAGCTCACTGTCAGTAAATACTGTGCAGTTAGTATTGGACTACAAGATAGATGCAAGCCTGTACAGGTAGAGTAATTTAAAGCATAAATGAGTCGGTTGGGTTCTGGAGGTGTGGTTACAGCAATTGTGCTTGGTTGGCGTGGCCTGGGCCTGGTGGTGGGGCCCAATGTGATATATTTCCATGGGGCCCAAAATCCCTGGCGTGTATGGCCAGAGGGCAGGACCTATAACACATTACTACCTAATAGCATTGTGAGGCTGAACAAAAGGACCTTTTGACTATGTAAATGTTGTCTTTTAAAAAAACAAAACATTTACTGACTTTTTTAGGATAGCTTAAAGTAATGTTGTAAAATTACAACCGGGGGCCTTACAGGGTTAAGGGATATTGTTTATTGTTATTTACTTTAAGATGTTTATTATTAACCAATAATTTACTTTAAGATGTTTATTCTTAACCTATCATTTAATTTAAAAACTCTTATTTAAATGATGTGTGTGTGTCTCTGTATTCCTGATGATACACTGAGAGAATGAGCTCATAGGGCTGCTGATCACCATAAGCTAAACAGTCTGTATATTGCATTACATTTGTATAATGTAAGCTTCGTTGTTACTTGGCCTGCGGGAATACAAAAACAATTGTTAGATATACTGAATATTATTTGATCTATTCCACCACTTAATCCCAAATAATGTAGAGGTGTGTTGTAGGTGCCTTAAATAACCCCTTATTTTCTAGTCAGATGTATTATTATGTTCATATAATATTGATTTCAATGCCACCCCTAAATGATCACTGGTTCCATCCTGGCCACCCCACTGAAAATGTCCTGGCTCCGCCACTGTGCACAGATGGAGGGCTGACAGGCAGGTAGGCCATCCAGTTACTTTAGCCGGGCCGGCTCAGATGATTGGTCGTGCTTTTTACAGCGCCACGGCTTCCACAGATGACATTTTTTTTATGGATTTTTTGTCAAAGCACTTCAGATATTCATTGCTATCAGGATGTTAAGAGCATTCCATGGAATATAACAAAGTGTATCTCGAGCCGGTTTCTCAAACTTACCTACCCCACCTTTAAGGACTTTAATTTAAGGATTGTGCAGAAAGGAGGTCTTCAGTTTAACCCTATTAAAACGTGAGACCCTGTATCTCCAATTTGATGGAAACAATTCATATTCGCTGTTCTTGACATGGTTGGTGTCAGAGCTGATGTCAATATGTTGTTATGGCTGAATCATAGAGTCAAAATGGATGAAAGAGAAGGATGAAAGGAATATAAAAGGTTAGAAAACTGTCAAAAGAACTATAATTTCACGGGAAGACTGTAACTTTTATTCATGTACCTGGGTTATTCATTTTTGTAAAGCACTTTGAATTGCCTTGGGAACAAACCTTCACTTCTCCTTCCTGGAGCTCCTCGGGCTCTCGAGGGTCCGCCAGCCAGGGGTCGTCGGGGCTCAACTCAACCAACTGAAGCCCCCCATCATCCAAAATCTCTACTTCTGTAAATGAGGTAATACACACATGCTCAGCTGGTGAGGGTCAGAATCACTGTCTAACACACAGGGGAGCAGTGAAGTAACTAGTAAGTAGATTTACTCAAGTACTGTACTTAAGTTCACATAGTACATTTTCAGTCAAAGTATATTCTACTCCACTACAGTTCAGAGGTCAATTGTGTACTTCGACTCCACTTCATGTATTTAATACCTTTAGTTACTTCACAGATGTGGATGAATGATGTGAAATATAACCAAGTGTTAAATCAGACTTTAGTTCCACCTGGAGTAAATCCACCAGCTACCCTGCAGTATACAAAGTCATTCAAACTAGCTGCACCTTCACCAGCTTTGAGAACACTTTCATGATCAATCATTATAAAACATATCATATATATTATTCTGAAATGGACCAATCTGCACAACGACTACTTTTACTGTCGCTACTTTCACTATATTTTGATGAGAATACTTTTCTACTTTTACTTGAGGAACATTTTGAATGCAGGACTTTTACTGTAACAGAGTATTCCTACACTCTGGTACTTCTACTTTTACTCAAGTACAAGATCTGAGTACTTCTACTTTTACTCAAGTACAAGATCTGAGTACTTCTACTTTTACTCAAGTACAAGACCTGAGTACTTCTACTTTTACTCAAGTACACGATCTGAGTACTTCTACTTTTACTCAAGTAGAAGATCTGAGTACTTCTACTTTTACTCAAGTACATATCTGCATACTTCTACTTTTACTCAAGTACAAGACCTGAGTACTTCTACTTTTACTAAAGTACAAGATCTGAGTACTTCTACTTTTACTAAAGTACAAGATCTGAGTACTTCTACTTTTACTCAAGTACAAGACCTGAGTACTTCTACTTTTACTCAAGTACAAGATCCGAGAACTTCTATTTTTACTTAAGTACAATATCTGAGTACTTCTTCCACCTCTGTCTAACACTGGGTAGCCCTACATGTTGAACTAAGCTCCAGGAGTCACAATAAACATGTGTTCAAAGTTAGTAATTCAAACTAAACTTACTGGTTATGTTGAGGAATAGTAAAAAACTGTTTTGTTGGGGTAAGAAAATAGTTGTGGTTTCTGTTGAAATATGTATTATCAAACAACTGTGTGAGCCGAGAGATCAAATGTTACCATGGTGACAACCACTATTCGAAATGGGGGGAGCCAGGGGGAGCTTGGCTCCCCCGAAGAGGGAGGGAGCTCCCTGAAGGCCGAGTTTGAGATAAATAGGGGGAGCCCAAAACAATCGAGCATATTTGTTTCACACAGATTACAAATGTTGAGTTTCTGTAAATAACAGTTCTTGAAATAAATAATAGTTATTGTTCATTACAGTTTCTGAATATTTCTTTTATATTTGTGAATATTTCTGGGTGTTGCCATCTGTACGTGGCGGCGCTGCATTCTTTACGCTACTTACGTTGCTATGGTTACGGTGGTGGCGATGCCGGCACGGTATTTGAAATGTTCATATTGTTATTTTTTTAACTCTGTCTTTGTAATAAAAAATATGGCAAAACGAAAACAGCCAAGCGTCACAGCTTTTGGATTCACAAGCAAAGAAGCGAAGGAGTCTAAAAATGACAACGTGAACGGAACAACTTTTAGTTGGCCGGCTGTAAGCGGCGTTAGGGTCGAGTTTGACAGCTCCACACCGAGGGAGAGGCCTGCCGATGTGGAGCCTGAAGAGGCTTCAACAACGGCCACAGCCGCCGGCGCAGTGACACCGTCTGTAGTAGTAGCAGAGTGATTTTATAGCAATTGATCGAATCTGCGCTGCTGCGCCAGTCAACAGAGCGTGCGTGTGATATATTTAGTAGCAGGATGTGCACGGAAAAATAGGGCTCCCCCGAAAGCAAATGGGTAATTCGAACACTGGTGACAACGTTATCAAACACCTGTGTGAGCCCAGAGATCAAAGGTGTTCCATCATGTGCTGAAAATGCTGAATATTTTGATATTTGAATGGTTTCTGTAGCTGAAGTTGTTGAGAGCCAAACTAATTGGTTGAAATAATAAGAAGTGGAAGTTGAAGAATAAAGATTTGAAGAACAGCAGTGGAAGGCTGTGCAA